TAAACATCTGTACCCCCATAATATGCTGAAATAAAAAAATAAATAAATTTTTTTGTAGAGACAGGTCTCACTGTGTTGCCCAGGCTAGTCCCAAACTCCTGGCCTCAAGCTTCCCAAAGTTCTGGGATTACAGGCATGCGCCACCATGCCTGGCCTGTTTTTAAATATTAGTGAGAAACATTGGCTTGTAATTTTCCTTTTTTGTATTGAATTATCAGGTTTTGGTATCACGATAACGCTAACATCATAAATTGATTTGACACATGTTCCTTTTGTTTTTTCTGTTCCCAAGAAGAGTTCTTATAAAATGGGCTTTATTTCTTTCTTAAATTTTTGAAAGATTCACCAGAAAAGTACTCTGGACCTGGAGTTTTTTTGTGGAAAGGATTTTAATTCTGGATTTTATATCTGAGTAGATTTAGGACAAATCAGATTCTCTATTTCTTCTTAATCTCTGTTTTATTCCTTGGGATCTGTTTAACCTATATTTTCAAATTTATTGACATTAAGTTGTTTATTTCTGAGGAAATGATATCATTTTTCATATCCTGCCAGAACAATATCAATTTGTTAATCTTTTCAAAGAACAAACTTTTGTCTCTCTCTGTTGAATGCTTATTTTCTATTCTAGGGCACTGATTTCTCCACTCATTATTTCCTTTTGCTTTTTTGCATTTGGTTTAAAATACATCCTAATTTTCCCTTATGATTTCTTCTTTGACCTATATATTATTTAAAAGTATACTGCTTTGTTTTTAAATATTTGGGAAATTTTGTTGTTGTTGATTTCTGGATTAATTCTACTGCAAGTCAGAGAACATATTCTGGGTGGTTTTAGTCCATTGAATTTTGTTGAAACTTTCTTGAAGATCAAGCACATAGGCACTGGTAAGTGTTCCATATGTATTTTTGAACACAATGTGTATTCTGTAGTTGGTGCAGTGTTCTATACAGGTCAATTAGATCAAGGTTATAAACAATGTTATTCAATCTATAATCTCACCGACATATTTAACTTCTTGTTCTTTCCCTACTGAGAGGTTTCATTATAGATTTGCCTGTTCCTTTTATTTTTGTTAGTTTTTGCTTTATGTATTTTGAGGCTGTGTTATTAATTATATAACAAATTGAGAATCATAATATCTTTATTAGATTAACACTTTTTCATAACGAAATATCTCTGTCTGTAGTAATGCTTCTTGCCTATCTTAAAGTCTATGTACTAGGTAATTGCCACATAACAAATTACCTCAAAGTTTAGTGGCTTAAAACCACAACATTGGGCTGGGCGCGGTGGCTCACGCCTGTAATCCTAGCACTCTGGGAGGCTGAGGCGAACGGATTGTTTGAGCTCAGGAGTTTGAAACCAGCCTGAGCAAGAGCGAGACCCCGTCTCTACTAAAAATAGAAAGAAATTAATCGGACAACTAA